GTTACAGCCATGGGTCAAATACAAGGGAGCCAGCTTATTTGGTCGAGCAATAGTGATAAACAACGCTGTCTTGTCCACATTGTGGTACCGTAGATCTATTCATCAACTTGATCCGTCATCGTTGCAGACGATACGACACTTGTTGACCCATTACCTATGGAAAGAAGAGTTCAATGATGACAATTTCTTGCCAAAAGTGGCATGGCAGATTATTACTCAACCAAAACGAAAAGGGGACTGACTATTTTGGACCCGGAACGATAAATTGCGGCGCTCCTCGCGAGATGGGTGTCATGGGCCATCTTGGAAACCCCCCATATTGCATGGCGACAACTTGCTGAATTTTCGTTGTTCTCCTTGTTGGAGTGGACAACCTTTAGATGCATATGGCTAACGGTCCTCAGTCCGAATTATCAGCGTAAAAAGTTACCTCCGTCCATATGGGCAGGGATATTAAAAGCATGGAGGGGAGTTTGTCCCAAGTTGCAACCCCCCCCCCTTGTCTTTGAGAGACTGATGACTCAGCCTTTGTTCAACAATCCATTTCTGCTCAACCTACAGGGGCTTCCCTTCCGATGTTTTGGGTCAGGAGAATTTGGGAATGCTTGGATGTCTCGAGGGATTGGAACCATTGTTGATATTTGGGATTTGACGACTGCTGACTGGAAAATCACTGGCCCCAAAACTGTTGGGACTGTGGCACCAGGTGGAGCATTTGGAACAGTTGAAAAACGTTGTCCCCCAGCAATGGGAGCACACGTTGAGAATGGGACCCACACTGCTCAAAGGAATGCGTTACAAACAAGCTCAACACCCGATGTCAGACTACATCTGGAGAATAAAGGACTATTCGGAGGTGGTAAAAATTCCCACCACCTATTGGCAGGTGCGAGGAGGGGCTGATTCGTTAGGAGAGTCTCTGCAATTCTCTGAGGAGCAACTCCCCCTCCCCTCTGCAGATCAATTGGTGTCGGTTTGTGTATTGGAACTGAAACAAAGTTATAGACCATTTTCTTTACAGGTGCCTGCGTATAACTTATCGATTGATCCTAGAGACTGGCGTGGAAGCACCCGTTGCGTAATGATGAAATAGTCAACATAACAGAATACACTATAAAATTGGGCTACCTCTTGATGACGCCGCCAACAGATATTAACTGGACAGTGGCTGAAAAATGAATGGCAGCAGGATGGGTGGTAGATACTGTGACAAGATTGGCAGCAGCACTCCCATCCTTCTGGAAGCAGTTAATGGATCTGGCGGTAATGAAGCATTCAAGTTTTTTTTGGTTGTTAATGCACCTGGCACTGCCGGTTAATATTTGGTGTGCTAAAAGAACTGCGAAGGCAGTGCCGGAATGTCAGTTGTGTGCGGGGACCCGGAGGGAAGACATCCAACACTTTGTGCTACAGTGCGAGCTTTCTAGGCCATTTTGGGAATGGTGGAGACAATCGGGTGTGTCGATCCGTGGGGTGGACTCCCGTTGGGAGAATGACTTCATCCTTATAGGGACCCTAACCAGGAGATCGAGGCCCCAGCTGCAATACGGATATGCAGAAGAAACCATCAGAGGCGCCATATTATGGACCCTCTGGAACCTCAGGAATGTCAGGGTCAGGAAAGATGAGCACTTGACACCACCCATGGTCAGAGCTAAGATTAAATACTCTATCAAACAAGTCATTTCGACAGATTGGGAATATCGTGTTCTCAAAAAGGGTTATTCGACCAAGACCGTCAAGTGGTTTGGGAGCAGATGGTGTGCCGGACCCGCCGGGATTGGTCCGACAGGATGGAGATGAAGGGTAGACGAGGGAGGAGATAGAGATGGAGATGGAAGGGACAGCGCAACTCCGACGCGGACTCAACACGCACCTACTCCAAGATCTGCAAAAGTAAAGAATGGCGAAAAACAGACAAGAGTTGGGGTATACCCCCAACGGACTGACTGACTGGATTGAACTGGCCTGGTACCGACAGTGGTACCGGGCAGGACTAGAACAGCACACGGCCTGTGGGGTCAGGCCACGACCTGGTCCCACAGGCCGAACTGGGCAAATAGCCAAATAGGCCCTGGTTGTAGGCCAGGGACGATGAAGGTCCGTTGCACGATCCTCAGACCTGTAATGGATCGCAAGAGTCATAAACACGCTATTCGCAAAAGCAGCGGAACTCTGCAATAAAGAAAGCTGAGAAATCTAGGATGCGGAGTCCATGCGATGCATCCTAAGCTACATAATGTCAAAAGAAAAGCAAATGCAAGGTATACATATCCTAGCTAACAACAGAAAATGAAATGTAGTATGATACAATCCTAAAGTCCTGGAGGCAGTGGCCTCAGTGCTGAAAGGAAAAGGACAATATGTCACAAGATAATGTCATGTCGCTGAACCACTAAGAGTGGGATGGTCTCAGAGGGGGTGAATGCAGCCTAAGAATCGAAACTCCTAAGGGCAGTCACACATGAAGGTGGGATAGGTCATCAGGCTCAAGGTGGGAGAGTGGTAGTGAAACAAAACCAATGACCCTAACAGATAGACCATCAAGGCGGGTAATGCTCGACAAAAGGGTGACACCATGCAAGGTCGACCATGAAAAGCGGAGCCTGGAATAGGGTGGCGCTATGCCGAACTGGAGGCATGCAATAGCCGGCTCTAGGGTGATGAGGGCAGTGGGTGAGGGAAACATGCACACAACTCACCGACTGGGAGAGGGAGCTAGATCTGGGAGCAAGGAAGCCAAGATAACGCTACGGTCCCAATGCCTATACGATACCAAGGGAGAGTCAAACTCAAAGAGACCCAGCTAAATGAGAACCATCATGCGGCAGGGGCAAGGGAGTATGCAGGGTAGGGTGCTGACGTGAAGTAGTCACGTCCAAAGTAGCTGAAGTCGTCGAAATAGTCAATGACGTCGATGAAGTAGCAGTGGAGTCGATGTCGAAGCAGAGCGGTAAAACGCTGACATCCTGAAGAAGAACAGATGATGGAGTACCTGATGGTGTGAGTCAGTGGGGAAAGATAGAGGATAAGAGTGTCAGTCATCGTAACGTGGAGGGCGACGATGAGTGTGTTGTGGACGCTCAAAGGCGACCGTCTGCGGCTGAGGAACGGCCTCACAGGCAGTGGGCTCATCCTCAGCAATCTCCTCAGTCGGAGGAGGAGGAAGAAGGTCAGTCGGCTGAGTAGAAGCAGATGTCTCAGCACGACGAGCACGATCATATGCACGCACCAACATCCTGGCGTGCTGCAAGTGCTTGAGGGGCTCCCAAGTAGCCTCCTCATCAGGGTAGCCCTTCCAACGCACAAGGTACTCGATGCGTGGAGGGGTATCGTTGGTAACTCGGCGTGATACGATGTCGGAAACAACGAACTCCTCGTGACTCTACCATGATAGGTAGAGGGAGCTCATAAGGGCGTCCGGCAAAGCGCTCAGACAGTCTGCGATAAGGACGCAACAAGGAGACGTGGTAAACATCGTGTACGCGAGCCTGTCGAAGGTAATCAGGTAGCGTCACACGGAAGCTGACCAGACTAGCGGCAGTATCAGAGCCGACGGCCTGAAGGATGCGGCATGGACCGAACAAACGACGCCTGAACTTGTGAAGCGTATCTGCTTGGAGCTGTAAGTGGCGTGCGTCGACGAGCACATCGTCACCGACTTTGAATGGATGATCCATTCGTGATCGGTTCGCTCGTGCGGCCATGCGAGTCTGGGAGTCGGTTAAACTCTCGTGTGTGCGCTTCATAATCGCCACCATGTAGGCGATCCAGTCGTCAAGCGCAGGGCAACGAGTGTCTGGGTGCAACCACGATGGTCGTAGGAAATCCGCGGGTACGCGAGGGTGGTAGCCGAGGTCGCAAAAGAATGGCGATATCCCCGTGGCGGGCGAAACAGCGTGGTTCTACGCAATCTCCGCGTGGGCTAAGTGTAAGTCCCACTGCTGGTCATCCCTAACAAACTTTCGGAGGATATTACCGAGAGTTTTATTGGTGACCTCAGTCTGACCATCCGTCTGAGGGTGGTAAGACGATGAGAAGCGGAGCTGGGATCCGTACACCTCGTGTAGGCGTCGCCAGAATGTGCTGGTAAAGCGCGGGTCACGGTCGGAGATGATGCTCTGAGGTAAGCCGTGATCTCTCACGACTCGGTCGAAGACGATGTCGGCGACCTCACGAGCGCTAATGCGAGATAGCGGGACGGGACAAAACGTGCACGCTTCGTGAAGCGATCGACGACAACCAAGATAGCATCATGACCGCGCTCAATGGGTGGGCGGAGGGGACCAATGAAATCCATCGAGATGGACTGCCAACGACCCTCAGGTATGGGTAGGGGCTGAAGTAACCCATACGGAAGGTGGTTCGCACTGTTCACCTCCTGGCAGGTAGGACACTCCTRRATGTAGGCTTTGACAAAGTCCTTGGACTTCGGCCAGACGTATAGGCGGCAAACACGAGCCAACGTCTTGTGGAAACCCATATGATCGGCAGCTGCCTGGTTATGAAACTCTGCTACAGCCTGGACGCGGAGCTGTCCGGTGGAGGGAACGCAGATACGTGGTTCTAGCTGACCAGATCTGCCATGCCAGTACACGAGGTCGTTCTCCCCGAGGAAGTAGGAAGGAACGGTCTTTCCACTCCGCAGTGTCAGAGGATGACGCGATAATCGGGGTAGTGGCGGTACTGAGTGCGATACGCGTCGATCACCGACTGATCAACAGTGGTGATGGAGATGGGAGCAAGATGGATGGGTTCCTGATTGTGATCAGGACGGCGGGACAAGGCGTCGGCGACGCGGTTCGTTTCACCCTTGATGGGTTGAGTGGTGAAACTAAACTCGGATAAGTCACGCCACCAGCGTGCCTGTCGAGGGGAAAGCTTAGGCTTTGTGAGGAAAGCCTGGACAACTGAGTTGTCCGTGCGCACCGTGAAGGGCGCCCCGTGCAGATAATGACGCCAATGCCGGGTAGCATAAACTACTGCGAGAACCTCACGTTCATCGGCAGTGTAGTTTATCTCGACAGGCAGTAGCTGACGGGAGTAGAAAGCGATCGGGCAATCCCCAGCACGAGCCTCGACAGTCTCATCCTCCGCGATGGTCGGGGAGTAGGCAACAGGAGGACTGTCAGTGGAGGGAAGTGGTGGGAGGATAGGCGTCAATCGAGAAGCAGTGTCAGCAGGAGGGGGGGGGAAAGGAGGGACATCGGGGTAAGGTGAATCTGGAGGAGAGGGAAACACCTAAGAAAGGACAGCTCCTACTGCAAAGTCTAACGCATCGGTGGTGACGATAAAGGGGCGATAAAAATCGGGAAGGCGAAGAACCGGCGCACAGGTCACCGCCTTCTTGAGGGCGCGAAAGGCGTCCTCGCACAGGGGTGTCCAAGACCACGGCGGGTTCTTTCGGAGGAGGGTAGAGGTAAGGACGTAGGAATACCTAGCGTATCCCTGGATAAAATTACTATAGTAGCTGGTGAAGCCTAGGAAACTGCGAAGCTGCTTGGCAGATGTGGGGACGGGCCACTCTGCAATAGCAGTGATCTTTGCATCGTCCACGTGGAGACCCTTGTCAGACACATGGTGTCCTAGAAAGTCCACTTTGCGCTGGGCAAAGCGGCACTTACTGAGCTTGGCATAGAAGCCATGCTTGCGTAAGCGCTGTAGGACATCGCGGAGGTGTCTGAGATGGTCTTTTAAGGTACGATTGTAGACCAAGATGTCGTCCAGGTATACGAGAACGTATTCTTCAAGGATGTCCCTGAAGATGTCGTTCATCGCCGTCTGGAAGGTGGCGGGWGCATTGGTGAGGCCGAATGGCATCACCGTGAACTCGTAGTGGCCGAAGCGCGATCGGAAGGCGGTCTTCGGCTGATCCTCTGTGGCAACGCGGATCTGGTGGTAACCGCTACGAAGATCAATCTTCGTGAAGAAGTGCTTGCCTGCCAGACGGTCAAACAACTCATGCACACGGGGCCTGGGATAGCCCGAGTAATGGTTAAGGCCGCGGTAGTCGATGCAGAGGCGGAGAGTTCCGTCCGCTTTGCGAGCAAAGAGGACAGGTGCACCCGAAGGGCAATGAAACCCAGTCGAAGGAGCTTCTCAAGCTGACGCTTGAGTTCCGTCGCCTCTGGAATCGAGAATCGGTATGGTGCCTGATGGTGAACACGATAGTCAGGCACGAGTTGGATGGAATGCTCGACACCGCGCATCGGGGGAATCCCGCTGTATGAGAAATAGGGGGGGAAGAAGTCGCGGTACTCTCGAATCAGGTCGCGAACGGCGGGCTCTAAGTCTGCCGTTAACCGTGTGAGTTCCTCAGCGTCTGCGTCAGCACGAGACGTATGTGTGGACTCGACAGTCGACGGCGCAGGGGCCCGAGACGTGGAGGAGGTATCCGCAGGCTGGCGAGTGGATGTAGAGATGGGAGCCGCGAAGATGGAAGGAGGGTCAGGGGGATCGGGCTCCAGAGAGATGAGCTCAACCTCGGGACAGAGTGGATCGTAGCGAAGAAGATCCATGACGTTCACTGAGTAGAACGTGACATCCTCCTGTCGTATGAAGTGAGCAAACTGATGAGGGGAAGTGAACGCGATGTTGGGGTGGGACCTTGAGGGACGAGGGTCCTGGGGAGGTAGATCGGGCGGGGTTTCGCCCGTGGTTCCAATGAACGGGATGAGATGGGTCTGACCACACTTCGTTTTGAGAACGAGTGTCTCGGTCGCCCATTCGGCCTCTGTGCCACGGAATCAGCGAGACCAGGGAGTGCTTAGGATAAAGTCGTACCCAGTTTCCAACACGTCGAAGTGCGTGGAGGAATGGTAGCGCCTAGGCGTCTGGGGACTATCCGATGGCTGGAGGGTGAGGGAGAAGTGGAGGTCGAGGACCGTTTGATCGAAAAAACGCTGCGTCTTGTTATCTCYGAGGGTAACGGAGATAGGAGAGAAAGACCCAGAGGCAGCTAGGCGAGCTTCCTCAACCACGCAAGGGTGAACGAAATTTCCCTGCGAGTCAGAGTCCCATAAAGCGTGGTACACCCTCGTAGATGTCCCTAGGCGAATAGGGATGATGGGTAGGGTGCGATCATGGTCAGAGAGCAAGGCGAGAAGACGCCGCAAGATGTTGATGTGTCTCGTGAGGCGCTCCTGACGAGCCTGCAGAATGTTCAAGTCCAGGAGAGATGATACAACGTCATCGCGAGTCGCCAGCTGAGCGCTACGACGGGTTGTGCGAATGGCGCGACGCGTCGGAAGTCTCGGGGGAGAAGCGCTAGATGCGGCGGTCTGCTGGGAGGCAGACGGTACCTCGATAGACGATGGGGCGGAGAGAACTGCGTCTGTCGTGTCCTGAGGGTCCTCTGGTGGGGTAGCCAAAGGGGCAAACCACGACTCGGTGGTCGGAAAGTTGGCTACGTGCGAGGCCTCAGGGGCACCGTGCATTGTGGCTAGGTGGATGGGGTTGGCCGGGCGGGGCCGGGGGGGGACTGAGATCGACGCTGACGAGATATGTCTGCGTAGTGCCGATCGAGGGCGGTATGGTACGGACCCTTTGAGGAGGTGTGTCCATCTAGGCGGCAACGAAGGCAGCCGCGCCGGGCCTCGAGGGCGGCACGCTCCTCAGGGGATAGAGCTCCGCGAGGAGGGACATAACCCTACGGGAGGTCTATTTGAGGAACCGTGGGTGTGCGGACGCCAGCCTGTGCAACCCGACTAGGAGCACGACCCATGGCAGACATGGCCAGCGCCAAACGCTCGGCCATCGGAACTGTGTCGTCATCCAAGTGATACTGGATGACGTCTCGTAGCTCGATGTCCTCGGGGGCGTCCCCAAGGGTAGGGTCAAACTCCGCCGAGGCGTCCTCGCTGTACTCCAGAGAACTGTAGCGCCGAGAGAATGGCGCTCCAGGGTGGGCTGGTCGACGAAACCGGCCAGCGAAGGAGAATCGACCGCGAGTAGCACCACGTGACTGGGTGGCGGCAGCGGTGGATCGCGAAGAAGATGGGGTGTCGGAAAAGCGATTCCGCATCTTCTGGTACTCTCGATTAGCCTCGTAGGCTTGCTCGGCGGAGGCAAAGCTCTGTCACTTGAGCTCGATACGGTAGTCAGTCGGGAGACTGACTACGAACCTGTTGGTCAAAAGGGCCTCAAGTAGGAGTGCCTCATCGCAAATGATGCGGGCGTCCTGGAACACTCTGATGTGACGCTCAAGATCGGAGGGTGTGGAGGACCCGCGCCACTGCGTCTGGGTGACCCGGTCTAGGGCGTCGGTCGCATCGTGGAGGGTGCCGTAGCGGTCGTGGAGGAACGCGTTGAAATCCGCGAGAGTGGGCACCTCACCTGCACGAGTACGATGGGTATAATAGTTCTCCCAAGCGAAGAATGCACAACCTCGCAATTTAGTTGCGAGAGCGGAACACCACAAGTCCTGACTAGTGTAAGTCTGTGTCAGCGCTCGTGTGGCAGTCTGTAACCTGTGCGACACACGCATCGTACCATCGTAGTCGGGTATGTCCGACAGACGCACAAGGGTGCGATTGCTGTGGTGGCGGCGAGGGGAGAGGGGCTGATGGGTCTGCACTACGGCGGAACATGTCGGAGCTGGTGCAGAGGTAGAAGTGGGGGCTGGCGGTGAGCCGGGGCCGCTGGTGGAAGGTCCAGCGGGCGTGGAGGTACAGCCGCAACCGACTGTGACGGAGTAGCAAGGTAGGAGGGTAGAGGGGGGGGAGCCGGTCGAGGGAAGCGAGCCGGCAAGATAGTGGTAGGAGGGACGGTGTAAGAAGAAGAAGGGTGCGCAGCCTGTGGAGGGTGAGGCTGTCTAAGGGAAAGAATCTCCGCCTGGAGCTGGGCCACAGTGGCTTGTAGGGTAGCCACTTGCTGGGTGCGCGGGGTCGGGGATGGAGGAGGTGGAGGGAGTGCTCTAGCAGGGAGAGGAAGAACTCCGGGCAGAAGTACCGTAACTGGTGCAGGAAGCTGCGAAGCAGCACCGGGGTGGGTAGATGAGACTATCTGGCCCGATGTCGGTATCTGGGCGACAGCACATCCGGCGGTGGCCGAAGCGGCAGGGGCGGCAACCGATTGGTGTACCGCCACAAACGGTGTGGTCTGGGTGGCAGCAACACTCACCACTAGGGCGGGGGAGTGCTGGGCCTGGCCCGCAGATGAGGACGAACCGCCACGTCTTCGTCTCTGGCGTCGTGGAGAGCCAGACTCCGAGCTGGTAGGCGATGGGGTCTGAGAGCGGTGGGGGGACCTATGAGGGGAACCCTTGAGGCGGTGAACTTCAAGGGCGAGCGCATTAACTTGCGTCTCCAGCGATGCAAGCGCATCGAGTCGCGCTTGCAAAGGTGCAAGGAGGGACGCAAGAACAGCTCGAAGGTCCGTGGGGTCCACACCATGCTGACCCTGGACCGTGAGGTGGGTGGACGCTTGAGAGGTGGATGGCGCTGCAATGATCTCCTCGATTGTAGCCATATCCGTGGATGGTGGAGGAAGAGAGGTAGACATGGTGGGAGGTGGGGGGAGATATGGGTTGTGGTATGGGGACAGAGGACCATCGGTGAGAGGGAGAGGACCGCGGGAGCGGAGTGAGTAGTCGTGGGTCGGTTCGCCCCGTGACCAACGGGTCGCGCGTGAGATGGTGGCGCGAATCCGGTTTAGGGGAGAGGAGCCGTTCGGGTCCAGGGTGCCCGACGGGAGGAGGTGGGAGAGTAGGGGGGTTGGGAAAACCCTAAACCCTAGAAAAACCCTAAGGAAACCCTAACCGGAGTTTAGGTGGTTAGGGGAAGGTGGCGGCGACCTAATCAAGAAAAGAAAATAATAAATATAGAGCGGAGGGAGAATAGAGTAAACAGTGGATTTTCGAGATAAAAATAAAATAAAWRAATAAATARAAATAAATAAATARATAAAATGTAAAGATTGAGGAGAGRGAGAATATTTATTTTTTTKGAATWTTCGGCAGCATTTTCCCACTCCGCATGRGRTCAAAAATGTGCGAAGAGGAAGGAAAGTGCAAGAGGGACACACTAACTTTTAAAATGCCGCAAATTAAAATTTTCAAAAAAATAAATAAATAAATAAATAAATAAATAAGGAGGTGGAGGAGAGTGAAGAGAAGCTAAGTTTTCGAATTTTTCAAAAATTTCGGCAGCATTTCGTTACCCCCATGGGGTCGAAGTGTGCCGTCAAGAAAAAGACTAAGTAAAGTAAGAATATTTTGTCAGCACTTCGCTACCCCCAAGGGGACTAAGTAAAGTAAGAATATTTTGTCAGCACTTCGCTACCCCCAAGGGGTCAAGATGTGCTGAAAAAGACTAAGTATGAAGAAAACGGAAAATTTCGGCAGCACTTTGTTACCCACACGGGGTCAAAATGTGTGCCAAAAGCAAGAATGGTTAAGTTCTGAACAGATTTTAGGGTGCCGCAGAAAATTTCGAATTTTTAGAATAAATAAAATAAATAAATATAAAATAAATCAGAAAAATAAGAAAAGAGGTAGGGAAAAAGATGATTCAGATTTTTTGAGGAAAAGAAAATTTTACATCAAAAAGAAAGAGAAAAGAAGGAAAAACAGAAAAATTCGGAGTTGGGTGTTGGGGGTGATGGAAAAGGGATGAAGAAAGAGAGAAAGAAGTGAGAAGAGAAAGAAAAAGGTAAGGTGGGGGATGGGGGAGATGATGGGATTGTAGTTGGGGGAGAGAAGGAGGAGAAGAGGGTGGTAGGATGGGAGAGAAGGATATGAAAAAGGTGGAGAGAAGTATGAAATTAGTGAGAAATGGTGAGTGGGAAGGAGAGGAGAGAAAAAGGTTGTGGAAGATGGATGGAGAGGGAGGTAGGGGTAGAGTGTAGTGGTACGGGGGAAAAGATGATTAGATGATGGGGGGAAAAAGAGAAAAGAGGTTGGGGGAGAGTGGGTTAGTGGCAGGATGGTGATACCAGGCTCTTGGGTGGCCAAGAGCAAANCCTGATTTTCGTCCCAGACTTCTTCTTTCCCGCCTTTGCATTCATCGAGGTTGTCGTTGCCCTCGTCGTTGACTCAGACTGTCCACCACTAACATCCTTTCGTTTGTCGCAAGAGGGAGCCGTTCCTGCATCTGGGAAAGCAGTAGAAGATGTGGCAGTTGTGGATGACTTGGCAGCAGACGCCCTCTTGGCAGCAGATGCCGTGACAACAGCTGATGAGGCAGCAGACGATGACATAGCACCGAATGGCTTGGTGGCTTGGTAGCAAATGGACTGCCAACAGATGACGTAGCAGAAGATGACGTGGCAGCAGATGACATAGCAGCAAATGGCTTGGCAGCAAATGGCTTGGCAGCAAATGGTACCGGTAAGGGCATCTCAAAAATTTTCCTGCTGGCTTTTAATGGTCATCCGGTAGGGGCATCCCGCAAATTAGGGACCGGTAGGGCATCCCGCAAATTAGGGACCGGTAGGGCATCCCGCAAATTAGGGACCGGTACCGGTAGGGGTGTAACAAAAAGATTTGAGGCCCAAACGACACCAGGGTCTTATGGAAAATTTGAACCCTGCTCAGAGGGGCGCGACAGGGTAAATCGGCCGTTGGAGGGGCGCGATGCAAAATAACGCAAATTACAGGGGCGCCAGACAAATTTTCCCTAAAAATAATTAATGAAATAAGGAAATAAAATATGAAGAGAGAAATAATATTTATTTTTTTATAATTTTCGGCAGCATTTCCCTACCTTCCATGGGGTCAAGAATGTGCCAGCGGGAAAGGACTCAAAGGAGAGACCAAGATAAACACACTAGGTTTCAAACTGCCGCAAATTAAAAATTTCAGAAAATAAATAAAGAAATAATAAATAAATAGATAAATAAATAAATATGTAAATAAGTGGATGAGGAGGTGGAGAGAAATGAAATATCTGATTTTTCAAAAAATTTGGCAGCATTTCGTTGACCCCATGGGGTCGAAGTGTGCCGAAAAAGGCTAAGTAAGAGAAAAACAGAAAACTTCGGCAGCACTTCGTTACCCCCACGGGGTCAAAATGTGTGCCGAAAGCAAGAAAGACCAACTCCTAGTCAGATTTAAGGGTGCCGCAAAGAAATTCGAATTTTCAGAATAAATAAAAGAAAAAATAAAATAAATCAGAAAATGAGAAGGGAGGGGGGGGGGGATAAGATAATTCGAATTTTTGGAGAAAAGGCAAGATTGAAATCAAAGAGAAAGGGAAAAAAAGAAAAACAGAAAAATTCGAAGTAGGGGGGGGGAAGGGGATGAAAGAGTGATGAAGAAAAGAGAAATAGGTGAGAGAGAGAGAGGAGTAGTGAAGTGGAAGATGGGGGAGATGAGATTAGTAGGAGATGGTGAGTGGGGAGGAGAGGAGAGAAAAAGGTGGTGGTAGATGAGTGAAGAGGGAGATGGGAGGAGGCGGGGTAGTAGTAGAGTTGGAAAGGATGATTAGATGATGGGGGGGGAGAGAAAAAGGGTTGGGGGAGGGTAGGTTAGTGAAGAGAGATAATACCAGGCTCTTGGTTGGCCAAGAGCAAAACACTACCAAGATCCACAGGATCTTGGCCTTCAAGGTGCTGCTGGCCTGATGCCACAACAATAACAGGATGATGATGATGATGATCTAGGGTTGGCTGAGATCTTGATCAGCCACCCTACTGCCACGGTCACACAGCCCCCTAGGCAGGGGGGAATCTTGAGCTGCTGCAAAAGTGTTGCTGCAGTAGTAGAAAAATAGTAAAAAATAATGTGGCGCAGCCCCCTAGCCAGGGGGGTCTTCAGTCTCCACAGCAGGCTGCCACGTGGCACCGCAGATGGCCACGTGTCCAGGCCGCAGCAGCCGGCGGGGGGGCGCAAATAGCAGCCTGGCTGTTGCTTCCCTGCTGCTCGATGCTCGCCGGCGGGGGGGGGGGGGGTAAATAGCTGGTGCGGAACTGTTCAACACGATTGCTCCACACTATACAACCATGCATACAGTTTGGCCAGTGTGTTATAGCACTGGCTACGCACGCGCATGAGTGCTGCCTGCCAAGGTTCAAACCCTGGCAGCAGCAGCAGCAGCATCCCGGATATCTTGATAATATATATCCGGGAGCGGGGCG